GGTATTTACATGCATGCACGGTAAAATAGGTCATACTCCATGTGAAATAAGCTGATAGTTCTATTGTAGATTCCTTGCAACCCCAAACCCCAGACTTCTGGGGGGTGGTCTTCTGTCCTGAGGATGCTCTGAGCAAACAAGAAAGACCAACCTCAAAAATCACGTGCCATGTATGTTTGGCCAGTACATGTACCACTCACGTTTCCGACCCCCCCCCCCCCCATGTCTAGCCTCCAAATTTATCCGTATCCTATGCTCCAGTAGTGCAAAACTCTTGAAATAGGATTTAGCTTTCATGATTTAACAACTGTGTTCCAAATAGCTCCCGCCAAAATCCCTGTCTATTCATGATATCATTCCTATCTAGTCGCCATGTACTCCCTCACTACTTCTTACAAGTCCATTCCCCACTCCCCCAACTTGATGGTTCTTAGTGGGCAATATGGGGCTCTAACCCCAAAATAACCTCTATATTGGACGACTATTACTATTATGACTATTATTGCTATTATGACCATTCTTACTATTCTTATGCTATATCCCCGCATTTCCTACTAAGAACCAGCAAGCCCTAGGCTTTCAGACAGAGCCAAAGCACATGGAGTCCACGCCCGATGCAGCCGCGGAAGTGCCCCGCTGGAAGATGTTTCCCTTGGGTATACTGCCTCAGCTGTCTCTTAAGTGGACCCATCACCCTGTAGTAATGACATACTAGCAATTTGAAAGGGCCCTACGGAATATCATGACCATTAATCGTTTCCCCCTAATGTTAAACCCCCTCCCACTAATGTAAATGCTTGAAATGTTGGAGTTTAGGATTTGTGCAAAAAGAGATGAGGCGAAAAGGAGGGCCCCATGAATTCTCAATTCGAGGAGAAGCAACTGATAATTACAAGTCTGAAGCTAAGGGCTTTTCAAATGCTCCGTGAATGTGTGCAGAAGGCGTACAGTGTACAGACATTCGACATGATTTTGGTGGGGATGTCAAACACGCAAAATGCAGCAGTAGCAGAGAAGCATCTGAACTTGGTGAATTCGATGATGATGATGATGCTGACGATGATGATCGTGGTGGTGGTGATGATGATGATGGATGATGATGATGATGATGATGATGATGATGACCATGGCGATGCTTACGACGACAGCGACAGGCTGAACCTGCCTGATACACCAACATCCATCAGGCTTCTCTTTAAGCTTCAAGTTTCAACGCACAGAAACGGAGAGACCCAGCCCAGTAACAGCAGATTTGGTCACATAGCTTGGGGGAGGCTGCCAGAGTGACAAGCTGCGAGTCGGCTGCCGCCGGTATCGCGAAATTGCTACCCTAATGATGGAGAATCCAATGGAAAAGACCATGGCAAAGACAATGGAGGAGATAAGGGCAAAGACAATGGACAAGCAGATGGAAGCTGGGCGTGGATGTGCAATTCTGGAACCTAAGCTAGGTTACAAAACTATCCTTGCTCTGTTGATATCTAGCACATGGAGCTGTCTCCATTCTGGTCCCCTGTCAAGTGGTCGTCATGCATGGGATCCAAAGACATCATGGGAAAGGGCCGCAGCGGTACTGACCGTAGGAATTCTCATGCCAACGAGGAGCACTAGAGGGAATCCTAGACCCCAAGCACCACTACAAGGGCCAAAGCAATTGAACAACCTTTGTACAAAGCTGAGCGCAAGGCTCGGGCGGTTTCCCATTATATCGACTGAAGATGGCTTGCCGCAGCACTTCAAGGTAGCTGGTCGAGGTTTAGTTACGGCTTGTGCAGACTTCTCGGTTTTCTTGCTGGTTTGTCTGGTGCTGAGGCCGTGGTACGTGGTTAAGGTCGTGATTTGGGGGGTAGAAATTTGTTGGGTAACTATAGGAGTCACTGGGTTGGCTTTAGAGTGGTTGAGGTGACACTTGTCAAGAGCCTTGCTCTTGCATGAAGTTCACTTAGCTCCCAACCTTTGGAAGGTGGAAAGTGGGACAGAAGAGTGACACGGGGACGGCTTATTTGTGGCATTTTGTCTGGGACGACATTATCATAGCAGGCTTTTGTAGTCTTTTCTACTATATTCTTCCGGCTTCTGCATTGGTGGTTTCTGAGGCGACCCGTGACAATACCGCAGAGAGATGGCTTGAGCATGGCGAGCATCAACCATTCCGCCACATGCACGATGACACACCCCCGGAAGACACCTCAGACCTCTAACAAGAATAGTCTCTAATAGTATAGTCCCACATAAGTAGATAGAACATGGGGTATATGGGAATCTTATCATAATATACCCAAAGCCATATTCTATCTACTTAAGGGGGACTATAGGGGGTGGATTGTCCCCTAAGGATGGGGGGGGAGCCCTTGAAGGAGGGGAAGGAGGGGAAGTTCTTCCGAACTCTGCTTTGGGCAAGACGACGGCCAGGGGATACTTCTTCGAAGATTGAATAATAGTAATCCTCCTTATAGGACGTACTATGTACATGTGCATCTACTACACATTACCCAGCCACTATACAACCATACAAAATCCCACTATTCGGACGAATGAAAGGTGGTTGAAAAATGGGGGCTGGGCAGTACAAGACCTAGGTCATTGGAAAAAGCGTCGGCGTAGATCCAAAAGCATCCATGCGATTCGAGGTCAACAAGGTTCGTATCTTACGGAACAGTATGATTGTCTGCTTTAAAGAGTTATAGCTGATGAAAGGAAACTTTCTGGTCATAACTGCGGTTTGTCCTCCCCAGGAAGCAACATCATGAGTTAGGGTTTAGGGCTTGCCGTTGAGGGCCCCTGTAGTCCCTAAACGCTAGACCATCAATCGGGGCTGATCTGGGAAGATCAAACACTCACCAGGCTCCATGCCTTCTGAAAATCGGGGTAAGTCAGGATATATGAAATAGATGGGGTTGGGTGGTTACTTCCACAGAAATGGATGTCCCTTGGTGGGGATATCTACAATAAATTACCATTTCGGGTTATAGCATCTGGAAGTATAGGAGGTGGACCCCGCTTTGCTGAAGCTACCTGATGAATCACAGGAATGTATGGGAGGATACCTAAACCCTAAACCCTATCCTTCTTGCAAGCTTACTTCTGCCATGCTAGGGAACTGCCAGAAACTCAGATGAAGAGATGCAAGTTTACCTGGTCGTAGGTACTAAGCCTCGAGAAAGCGCCGCTACACCAGCACATGACGCGTGTGCCCGACCCACTTCTGTAGCCTAAACCGCATTCGAAATCTCTGCCAACAGCTGTACGATGATGATGATGACGATGATCAAGACTCATGATGTCCCTCGTCCTGCATCCACCTGGCGAAACTGTCATCCCCGGAGAAACCAGGCGAGAATGCTCATGATCAAGGCAAATTCTATTGGCCGCGGTAGCATAGAAGCTCTATGCAACTCCTATGAGCCTATGAAGCCCTATCAATGTCAAAAACGTGGTTTTGCCAATATGCCTGCTGAGGCAGTCCCCTGCTACGGCAACAGCCGCGTCTTAGACGCAGTGCTCGTGATGCCAACCGTGACCAAGGGTAAGGCAAGCCTAGGGACATATATGCCCTCGTTTGATTAGGTGAGTATCATTCAGACGCCCGTGTGATGCTTCGCTCACAATCAAGACTCAACGCGCTCGAGTCCTTCCTTAGCTGTTCGAAATCACTACCACAATTTGCTAAAGTACAACTACCTCCTCCCCTACTATGACAGCAGTTGCCTACCATTTGCTAAACCCTATATAACCCAATATAGTAGTCTCCATTTTCCATTATGCCTTTATAACCCTTAGCTTACCCCTATAGATACTCATATAACAAGGCTATTTCTACCACTAGTACCATCTCGTCGTGCTACTTCTTCAAACACCCGTACCGCCAACACTACCCCAAAGGCTCCCTGTAGTTATATAGTGTACACTTAGGGCCCAAAGAGGTTCCCCTGTAACCACTCTAGGGCCCAAGTATAGACCATATAGCTACACGGAGCCTCTGGGTAGTATAGCAATGACGTGCACGGGGCTTATTGATCTTGACATCAGTTATACAATGTGCTACCAGGTATGCTTCTTCTGATTATGATCAGAGCCATTACAGCGAGAAGAAATCTGATCAAGTGTGCGAACATGGTAATCGTGATCATTGTTCTGGGAGTTCTTGGCAGACTCCTGATATTAGGGTTTCCAAAAGTTCGGGGCCCTTTCTGAAGTCCCTTTATGAAGGCTTATAGTACATGGGGTCTAGAGAAATAAACATGCATCTACATTCGCTGGATGCAGAGTTTCCAGGACTTGCCAGACACTTCGGATGAAGGGTAACCCAGTCCGCATGAAATCGTATGCGTTGAAGTATAGGATTATGGTGGTATTGGAAATCAGATGTACAAGACTATGGAAGACGACATTGAAATTGAGTCTGTAAGGGGCAATGCAGGGATATATCCAAAGACTTGCCAACCTCAGCGAGTTTCATATGCTTAGAAATCTCCATCTGGCATTGGCAGAACTCTTTAATGAGGGGAGGGCTCACGTAGGCAGCTATTATCGACTGCAGGCATCAGCCGGACAAAGCACTACACACTTCCACGAACTACCTCTTTGCCATATGGAAGCTGTATGCAGCCTACAGAGCCTTTCTTTGAGGAATTCTGTACCCCCTACCTTGAGAATTAGGAAGCCCTCAAAGTATGATGCAAAACCTGAAAAAATAGAAGAATACCGTTCCCTTGCAACCCTTGCTGTTTGCAATCAAGGTCATATAACGTACCTGAGGCCCTAGACACCATCCCAACCTAACCCACGTGTATAAACTCAGTTTCACTTTCCCATCTGATGTTCCATTTTATTCACGTTTTGTGTATCCATCGTTTCAACAGTGCAGGCCTCTAAATCCCAAAGCCTAAACCTTATAAGCCCTAAACCCTGAAACCCAAACCCTAAGCTCTAAGCCCTCAACCCCAATCCCGAAATCCTAAGTCCTCAATCCCTACACCTATTGCCGTGAAGCATCTTAGTCAGTCTGGCACGAGTCCTGGCTCGGTAGACAACAGGATTCGCCCTCGGCTGTGTCGTTTAGGTGGTGTAAGATTTAGGTTTGAGGGGTTTAGCGTTTAGGGCTGAGGGGGTTAACATTTCGGGTTTAGGGTTTGGGGGTTAGGGGTTTAGAGATTTGGGGGTCTAGGGCTTAACGCTTAGTCACCTATTCCCAGTAGTAGTCGTACCAAGCTATATATTAATAGCGGGGGCCCTTTATTTACATATTTGGCGGTGGAATGTATTATCATCAGGGAGATTAGGAGTATGCGAGTATCACTTGCTGGTGATTCTCAGAGAGAGGAGTGGCATCACCTCTGGGAGGGACCCATCCCTTTTGCATGATCCCAAAAACCCCAGGTTTTGACGATGGCTCGCGCGGACTCTAGGAGTGGCAGATATCTGGGATATAGTCCCCCTTAAGTAGATAGAATATGGCTTTGGAATATTATAGTAAGATGCTCATCTACCCCATATTCTATCTACTTAAGGGGGACTGTACATTATGGCAAGTAACTTTAAGATGGGGACGCTGCATTAGAAGGAACTAGACGAAACATCATTGCCTAGCTGGAGGAGGCTGAATGTTCCAGTTTGGCATGGTCATGATTTACGCCATGATTTGTGAGCTCTGCGACAGGAGGCGGTGCATGCTTTCCGCCCGAATTCTGACCTATTACAATGCAAACTCTTCATCCACGATCTTCGTAGATAAGATTGAACCCTGAACTTCAGACCCTGAACCCTAAAACCCGAATTAGAGGCCAGGATCTGCCAATGAGCTATGGTCTAAACCCCTAGTATCCCCTAATCTCCACTAAAGTAGTCCCTATAGAATCCCCAATATAACCCCCTTTGAGGAGTTTAGACTATAGCTCAAGTAACGGCTTCGTGCAAGCAGAGTAGCTTTTGAGCATGTCCCCCGTGGCCACGCCAGTGATGCAGCATGTTACTGCCTCTGACTCTTGAGGGATTAGGGGTTTGTGGTTTAGGGTTTAGGGGGTTTGGGGCTTAGGGTTTGGGGTTTAGGGTTCGGGGTGAAGGGTGAGAGGGCAGAGAAAGCCGAGTTCAAGCCGACAGTCGCTGCACCCAGTAAGAACGTTCCCTCCAATAACGAACATCCTCGGGATCACCCCACCCTCAGGAAAGACGAGCTTCCAACGTTTGGAACAGGGGGATGGTCTCAACCATGTCGCTGGCATCGAGATTAGGGAATCTTGCAATTTGTTTCGAGATTTGGTTGAGACCGTGTTGAACCAGGTTCAAATTGCAGGAGGAGTGCGGCGACATTTCAATTCAGAGTGAATCAACGCATTCCCGTCCATGTAAACTGCTTGAACAGTTTAGCTTTGCAAAACTTAACATCAAAGACTTTGCGGAGGCCTTGAGAGGCGGGATAAGGTCACCGGCTGCCACACAAGGTTCTGGAGCTTGCGGGTCTGGGAAATACTATAATACTAGAACATACTACAACATACTATAACATACTATAATATACTATATTATACTATATTATACTCTAATATACCATCTTATGAGGGCTGGGGTCCGAGATGGACCGCCCTGCAGGCTAGGATCCCAAGCCATGATTAATTAGCTTGTTTACATCATGTTAAGAAGCAGCTGCCAAAAGAGTAACCCAGAACCCTGATTAATAAACCCCCTCCCCTTCATAGGGATAATAATAGGGATCGTAATGCTACGGCCCTTAAAAGGAAGGGGTTTACTAATCATGGCTCTACCTTAACAGGTGGCCCGGGTCGTCTTGGCCAAATTTATACCTTACGGGCACCAACTGCCTCCGCCCACACCAACGTCGGTAATACTTTCGGCCAAGGAACATCGACACGATCAGGTTCCTGCGACTCAAACTGAACACTCCTCAATCTGGAAACTTAGGAGCAGAGTGTTTTGCAATCGTCCCATATTCCATCCTCACACTCCGTATACACCCCTTATTCGATCCGAATATGTTGTAGGAACCGAATGAAAACCCTACTCGGACCCCATTAACACCCCATACTCCCCATACCTCCCATTAAACCCCCCGAAAAAGCCCGTGTTAAAACCCCAAACCCTAAACCCTTCTGCTGGGGCTTCTACAAGGCCACTGAACGCCCCGAGAACAACCTCTGCTCATGCACGATGCAAGTTTAGGAAATATTTGGGGTTGAAGGTTTTCGGCTTGGGAGGCTAAGCAATCAAAGCAGGGCCTTGCGCTATGGGGAGTACATCAATTTTTTGGGACCCATCTACGGATTTTGTCGCATGAAGATCCAATACCTTTTGGGGATAAACCCCGGTACCCCAACCCCCCCCCGCGTTCTGTCATATGATCTCGCGCCATCCTTTGAGATTGCGATGTACCTTTCACTTCTGTTTGCTCTTTCTGTTGCTACTAGCACTTTTGGTACAAACACGTACACAACATCTTATGTTGCTTCTGCTGCTACTCCCCCTAAGCACCCAAAGCGCATCTCGTCGCAGCTGAGCCTCAAACCCCAAACCCTAAATCTTGAACTCACGATATATCCTGAATCCACCACACAAGCCCTTCCCTCAATCCCTGACCGTCAACCCTGAACCCCATGTTAGGCCCTAAGACTCTGAAACCCATTAACTCCAAACCCTAACACTATGAACCCTACACACTAGGACTCTGAAACCCGTGAAACCCAAGCCCGCTTGAGCTGCCACCAGAGCAACGCTTCCCGAGCTCAGCGCGGCGATCGCCGCCGCAAAGGCGGAGCCCAGGGCTCCGAAGATGGCGATGACCTGTAGGGTTGAGGGTTCAGGGTGAGGGTTTAGGGTTGCGGGCTAAGGGTTTAGAGTTGAAGGTTTAGGATTGAGGGTCGGTTTAGGTTTTTTGGTTTATTTAGGGAGGGACTGGCTTTGGGATTTGCATACCACAGGTATTATGTTGCGTGGTAAAAACTTACCGCTGAAACCATAGCCTGAAACCACAGAAGTATGTAGACTAATTGCCTTTTTGGCTAGATTTATGGGGTTTGGGCAATTATTTTTACCTACTCTTGGGCTATATTTAGGGGGTTGGGCCATGAATTTACCTACTGTTGAACTACATTAGGTGTTTGGGGCCATTATGCTACTTACTTTTTGGCTATATTTGGAGAATTTGGGCCATTATCTTATTTACTTTTGGGCTACATTTCGGTGTTTTGGGTTCTTATTTTACCTACTTTTGGGCTGTAGTTAGGGGCTTTGGGCTATTACGTTGCCTACTTTTGGGCTGTATTTAAAGGTTATGGGCCGTAATTTCACCTACAATTGAGATGTAGTTAGGAGCTTTCGGTTATTATTTTACCTTTTTGGGGGGTCCAAGAGCTCCTCAGCCCCTCACGCCCGAGGGCTGTCGCGGTATCACGCGCCCTGTGCCAGCAGTCTCAGGCGAGAGGCCAGTAGCTCGACCTTGGGGGTGGTCAGCTTGCTCACTCCCTTATAAAGGTCCAAGCATTTATGCAAAGGATTGGGGTTCTAGGCCACAGATACTATAATCTGACTGGATTTTGTAACCTAGACCCACACAAATAATTGGGTTACTTGGACTCCTATGGGATCTGGTTCATAGGGAGTGAAGAAATAGCGGGACAAGGCGGTATAGGGATCATGCGATCAAGATGTGCCATAGGGATTGCTACCGGGAAGCGCCAGTCAGGCAAGTGGGTTAGGGCATTCGAGTATCAGTTGGAGATTTAAGAAGTAAATGCTTTTCGGAGGCTTGCGTATTGGGTTGGATGTAGAATGTAGGAACTCGGTGTTAATCTCCGAGAATAGATTTCTCCTCAGATGTATGCAGCCCCCCTTCCCCTCCAAGTGTTGGGTGCTAGCCAGCATCCGGCCCTACACTTGCAAACATTCCTGTAATTGACTGCCGCCCCTCAGAATCAAGACGTGCATATTCATGTGATCGTTGAAATTTTCCCCCCTCCCCGACTTGCAGTATGGTGGGCTCACTCTTTTTTCTCCCACAACTAACTGCCAGCATTCCTTTTTGATGAGGTCATTAAGATCTTCCCTCGCTTCCTGTGGTGTGAGTGGTTGTCTCCGCCTTGCGAAACTGTCAACACATTTCTGAGATCTGCAACATCTGCGACGTCAAAACTGTGACAATTATGAGAACGGCACCTCCAAAGCTTCAGAAACGACGACAGCTACGAGTCCATTGACTGGGGACCATGTAATGTGGCCAGGCATCGTGAATATACCCACCAAAACTCCTAAGGATTTACCGACAGCCTACACTCACGAACACCCATCTCATATTTTCGAAATTGTATCGGTCTAGGGTTCAGGGGGTACCTTTGGAAGGGATACCCAACGATCGGTTTCCAATCTCTTTAAGGTCCAAGTACTAAGGCAATCTGATACTGGGAAATCCCAGACCTTAAACCCTAAGGCCTAAATCCCATATATACCGACAACCCGGACCGACCTACACATGTTGAGACAAGCTCATGTCAGAGCCCTGACCGCCGCTTCCTGGAGATTGAGTCTCTGGCCGATCCCGCTGGAGACCAAAGGACCTCTGAATCATTGGTTTACTTCCCTCGTTATATGAGCTGCAGTCAACATTGCCCACATAATTTAATGGACATGGGTTCCTTCGGGAGTGTCCACTGTTACGGGTCCCTTAATGAGCCTAATAATGACAGTAACTCGCATAGTATATGACCTTATTCCCTGCCAACCACCAGTAGTAAGTCTAGGGTTACTTGGAAGTCCAAGGCAGCCATAACATGGTGTGTAACTGTATGTGTATGTATTACCCGATTATGACCTATGTGCTTACGTAGCCATTCTTGGGAACGTAGTCTCCGTTTGCAACTACGATGACTAAGTAATTTGTAAACATCCTAGACCTAAGAGTAGGGTTTAGGGGGTAAGGAGTTTGGGATTTACGCTACTTGGAAGCCAAAAAAACCTGTGCTGTCCTTCAAGAGGGTTCATATGGTGTCCCAGGGTTTGGGGGAAGTAAACAACTAGGTTGCACGCGCGCGAGGCGCCTGGAGGTTTCGAGGTGGCTGGATGTGTTTATTCCTACGGCTTCAGCGCGATTTAGCCGAGCATTACAACTTAGATTAAATAAAACTATATTTTCTATGACAGCCTTTCTGAGGCAGGAGGTTTTTTGTTCAAACTGCTGTAAGCTTCTTCAGTTCCTTGAGCAACGCTGTGATGCTCTAATGACCGTATGCTTTTGGAGCACGAACGTCATCATGGTCTGGGCATGGATGCTCTCATCACCGTGTGCTCTTGGAACACGAACGGCAGTATGGCTTGAGCATGGATGTTCTCATAATTGTATGCTCTTGGAACACTAACGTTATTATGGTTTGGGCATGGATGCTCTCATGAGCGGGTTCTCTTGGAACACGAACGTTATTATGGTTTGGGCATGGAGGCTCTCATGACCGTATGCTCCTGGAACACGAACGCTTTTTTGGTTTGGGCATGGATGCTATCATGACCGTATGCCCCTCATTTGAAATGTTCCCAATCCATTACTAGTATACCACAAGGGGAAGTCTTGGTATTCGGGGATAACATGGCCCTCCACAACCCAGCAACTCTGCTTGCGCGCTTCTAGGTTGAAGCGCTCGTGTGGCTCGGCGCGGTAAGCGTGGACCTGCAGGCAACATACTCTATAACGAGAATCATAGTAATCGTCACAATATCAAAATGATAACAATAAGAACGAATATCATAGACTCTTGAAACTCAACTAGGCGGATGGCCTTCGTTCTCAGCCCTCGTCGGTGTGGCCACTCCACCTCGTGTCCGTCCACGCCTTAGATAGGCTGCTCTGGCTGCTTTCAATGCTACTTTCAAATAGCCGTGAATGCCACTACAGCGTGCGTTGGCAGTCTTGGGACAATCTCAAGGAGGCCAACGACTGTAAGCTTAGAACCTACTGAAACGCATACAGGCACTGATCTCGTTTAGGATCTGGTTGTTGCTCTCCAAATTATGATCCCTTTTGGGCCTTTTTGGGGTCTTCATCATGCCTGACTCCAAACCCTAGACCGCTTCGGGATTCCACCTCAACAGCCAACGGCGTCCAGGCCTCCAACGCATCCAGACAGAGGGTTCAAGCTTCAAAAAATTAATTTCAACTAACATACGAATTTCAGGTTTAAGGTTTAGGTATATTGCGTGTGTGAATGAGGTGCGTTTTAAAGGCGAATGCGTGATTGTAGGCATTGTCGCTTTGCGGGCCCAAGTATCCAAGAATCGTACAAACTTCCAGAATCTTCAGCTACGAGTCCTGTGCAAAAATCCTCCAGTATCCACTTATTGGGTGCCTGGACTTTTTTGGTTTAGTGATGTGGGGTTGAAGGTAAAAGGGATTTAAGGTTTAGGGCTTAAGGGGTTCGAGAGTTCAAGGTTTGCGGCGGCTTCTGATTCAGAGTTCATGGCCTCAGCAATTAACATCAACTCCCTTTGAAGGGGCTATGTGACCAGTGTCGCAGGCTATACACGGGAATTTTTTGGGAGTGTCGAAGCCCACTTATCGAGATAAAGTTGAAGGGTGTCCTGTACCATGTATTATGTGGAGGATATGGAAGATTGTAATTCAAGCCTCTAAAATCTTTGGGAGGACTTATGCTTTCGACTTAGGACCTGCAAAGTCAACACAGTGGTGCCAACATTGTCGGGACATTAGGTTTGGGGCTCAAGGCTTACAGGATTCAGAGTTTATGATTTCAGCTTCAGGTTTGGATAGCGTTTTGACCTCAAATCTTCGGGGCCCCAAAACCTGACAACCTTCAAACCACTTCAAACCAGAACAGCCATCAACTTCCCGAACTCCATCATCCCACCCTACATTCTTGCAGTGGTATTCTTCCACCTGCTCAGGCAAGCGCTGGGAGCCCCCAACCCTAAAGCCTTCAACTCGCAGACGCTAAGCACGCCAGGCTTCAATCAAAAAACTAAACCTGCAACCGTTACACAAAAATCGTTGCTGCGCAGGAGACCATCTGGAGGGGGACTCATAGTTCTAATCAAAAATCTGGATGGGACCAGACAACCTCACTCTCACAGGACACATCAGGCTGCCACTGCCTGGTGTTTTTCTTGCGCATGACGGCATGGACTGAAATCCCAGATACGTACACACTTTGCGCAGCCTTTTGGACCGTACTTCGGCACGCTTGTCCACCTGGCTGAGGTACTGCTTCCTCCCTGCGCTCTCCTTGTTCCTTGTGTTCCACTTGCGAAGTTGCAACAGATGCGCTGCGTGTGGCGTTTCATCCACTTCTTGCCTGGAATGACACGGCGCAGGAACTTCAGCCTGCTCCATCTTTGGTTGTAAATACCGATGCAGGGAGGCCAAGGCACTACCATCAAATGGAGACGGCTCTTGGGGGCATGTGTACAGAATCTTGCGCGCGCCCCCGCCCGCTACCGCCGAATCTTCCTAAGGCTGTGCAGAGTGGCTACGCAGAGGTTTTGTGTCAGACCAGGGGGAGCCAACTGGGCCTGAACTGAAACACAAAACTGTCACCCTTTCAGAAGCCAAGTAGCCCCACCACGGTAATGTGAAAGACAAATGTCGCGCAGGACCAACTTTCGCAGGAAGCTGTGAAGCTCCAGATACTTCTTCAGCGTCTCGTGCGAAAGACCGGCCCGCGCAGCTTTTTCCATGCCCCACTTTGCGTGGGCTTGTGGAAGAGGTTGGCGGTCCACATTGCTGATCGCAGCCCTTGAGCACCAGATTGTGCTTTTTGGCAAATGCCTGTCACTGAGTCACTGCACCAGTCGTTCCAGTGGGCAGGCATTGCTGATGGTAAACTTTTTGAACGCTGCCCGCACAGACTGCAGCGAAAGCTTCCTGGGCTGCAAAGACCATTCCATCATACCCAATTGGCGCAGGCCTCCATCGTGGTTGGCAATGACCCGCGTCACCCAACTCCTGGCCAAAGCCATATAGAGAGGGATCTTTAAGCAGGATGCCAACAAATGCAACGAAGTCGCGTCCAAATCGGGATCAAGTTCGTAGTGTCGATGGGTTGACCACTCTAACTGCCCCAGGAACTTGGACGGCACGAAAGGCGCGCACTCCTGCGCTGCTTTCCTCCAACTTCTCAAGGGTGCTCGTTAGCAATGCATGCGCCATGATCCATACGTCCTCTCGGGCACGCCATGCCTTATTGTCCCCTTTGCCCCCTTCGCCATTTTTGCCGGACCTGCAAAACAAGGAAATCAGCTTAGCCCTCCTACGTCCTAAGCAGACAAATCCTAAACCGAAGGCCCCAACATGCCCTGTTTCCCAGGCCGGCCTTCTCCACCAGCGCAGCCGCCAGCAGCGGCCGCTGGCAGCAGCTTCACCCCCACTGGGGTACTTACCCTCAAGCTTGCCCCCCAGCCCTGATTCTTCATGCCAAGCCCTAAACCTTGAACAATGACCCTACCTCCCCGCAAAAATCACTAGCGCCCCTTTTTTCCTCCATCCCTTGAAGTCTGGTCACCCTGCTTTGATACTGACCCCCGTGTTGTAGTCCTTCGCAAATAACAACGCTCAGAACTGTAGTAGCCATATGGACCAACTTTTGCCATTATCATACCCCCAACCAAAACTCCTATTCTCAATGCTAAACTCCAGTTCTGAGCATTGTCACTTTTTTAAACAAAAAGTGGGGTTCCTTCGACACCCCAAAGATATGCAGGGATCATCGGGCGGCATCAGGATTCGCGTGACTAGGGCCATCATGAAAAATCCCACATGCCCAGGGTCTGCCAGTTTAAGGTTTGCCGGGTTTGAGGTGTTGTTGGGCTAGACAGCCGGGCAATGAAGAAGCTTCCCTTAAAGGAGTTCCAAAATTTGAGCCGTCAATAAAAAAAGTTGAACAATTGTGAAGTAACCTTGCGTGTGACTTCTCAAGATACTTTACTTTTGCAAGTCCTACGGCCATCAAAGGGTCGCATGCGCATGGTACCTCTTTCTTAGGCTTTGATGCTGGTCTAAGCTTGTGCAGATGAGACACACGTCTGCCGAGATGGCTACAAGCAGGTGGCAGCTTGAAAAGGCTTGCGCAGATGTTGAGGTGAGTATCATGTTTCTAGGCACATGTAATATGCCGCAAACAACGTTGGATGACAGCGGGGGGCACATGTATACCCCCCCCCCTTAAAAGACAGCGCCTATTGTGCGAAACCATACTTTTCATTAAGTCCCAAAATAGCCCGCAGAGGCTTAGGCTTAGAATCTCCACTTTCGTACGCGCGTCACTTGCTGAGAGGAATACATGACGCTAGTATGCGCAAAAGTCCTGTACTTTCCGAAAACCCATCATCGCCCACCTGCAGTACAATGAAGGAGGACCGGCCCACTCACCAACAGAGATGATATTCCAGCCGCTTGATATGTTTCTATTGTCCTCTTGGAACACGAACGGTATTTTGGTTTGGGCATGGATGCTCTAATGACCGCATGCTTTTGGAACACGAACGTCATTATGGTTTGGGCATGGATGCTCTCATGACCGTATGCTCTTGGAACACTAACGTTATTATGGTTTGG